TGGAAGACACCCGTTTGAAGACCCTGGAGCATGCCAAAACATTGTTCTTTGGATTCCAACGCCACGGATCAAAGTGACTATTGCGTCTTGACGATCCTGATTCGTGCCAGAAATCATTCCTATGACTTCAACACAAAGAATCAACGTGACTTTTGCGCCTGCATAATCCTTGATCCTTCCAGAACGCAATTTCTAGTACGCTGATGACGGGATTCCGTGAAACTCTTACAAATGTTTAAAGCGAATGCGTGCGGCGCTGAGGCGAAAACCACATTTTGAAAAGGAACCGCCCTCAATCCGTGAAGCTCTTGCAAATGTTTCTAGCGAGTGTGCGTGACACAAAAGCGAAAGCCACATTTTGAAAACCATTCGCCCTGAATCCATGACACTCTTGCAATTCATTCAAACGGATGTGCGCCGCGCTAAAGCGAGAGCCACATTTTGAAAACAGCCCGCCCCCAATGCGTGAAACTTTCGCAAATGTTTAAAACGAATGTGCACCGCGCTAAGGCGAGAGCCACATGTTGAAAACCACCCGCCCCCAATCCGTGAAACTTCTGCAAACTGTGAAAACGAATGTGCGCCGCGCTTAGGCGAGAGCCACATTTTGAAAACCACCCGCCTTCCATCTGTGAAGCGGTTGCCACTTGTAAGCTTTCGAATTATAAAGGTGAGGAAGTCTCGAGCGAAACGCCCGGTCCGCCCCAAAAACTGGCCTCGGGGTGCGACAGGAGGACGATATTATTTATAAGGGAAAGGAATGGAAGAGGAGGAGGAGGAAGAGGAGGGGAACCAGCGGAAACCCAAGGGTCATCAACGATGTTGGAGTAAACCCTCCCTCCAAGCTCCCTCTTCATAGGCCCCTACAACGGCTCACTTCCACTGAAGGGACTGGCTCTATGGAAGACAACCGTTTAAAGACCCTGGAGCATGCCAAAACATTGTCCTCGGGATTCTAACGCCACGGATCAACCTGACTGCTGCGCCTTGACGACCTTGAACCGTACCAGAACACGATTTCTGCGACTTCGACACGGCGAATCAGCGTAACCGTTGCACCCTCAAAATCCTGAGTTCTTCCATAGCACAATTCTGGTTTGATGATCATGGGAATCCATGAATCTCTGTCAACTGTTAGAAAACGAATGTGCGCGGCGCTAAGGCGAGAGCAACATTTTGAAACTCTTGCCAACTGTTGAAACGAATGTGCGCGGCACTACAACGAGAACCACATGTTGAAAACGGCCCGCCCTCAATAAGTGAAGCTCTTGCGAATGTTCAAGACGAATGCGCGCGGCGCTAAGGCGATGAAAACCACCCACCCTCAATCCGTGAAACTCTTGCACATGTTGATAACGAATGTACGCCGCGCTATGGCGAGAGCCACATTTTGAAAACCACCCACCCGAAATCCGTGAAACTCCTGCAAATGTTTAAAGCGAATGCGCGCGGCGCTAAGGCGAGAGCAACATTTTGAAAAGGAACCGCCACCAATCTGTGAAACTCTTGCAACTGTTTAAAACGAGTTTGCGCGGCGCTAAGGCGAGAGCCACATGTTGAAGACCACCAGCCCTCTATCCGTGAAACTCTTGCAAGTACCTAACAGCGAAGACTGATAGGTTTCTAGTAGGGTCAAAAGACAGCATCTGACGCCCCAGGGGGGTCTGGGCGCGATCCGGGGGAGGATGCTGGGGACTCCTTTTATAGCAAACAGTAACGCACTTCGTGGTCTTCGAGTTCCCAGAACTCCATTCCTGGGCATGACTTTGAATGCCCGGAGCCAACTGTAGGCCACTTCGTGTTCTTCGAGTTCCCAGAACTCCATTCCTGGGCATGATTTTGAATGCCCGGAGCCAACTGTAGGCCACTTCGTGTCTTCGAGTTCCCAGAACTCCATTCCTGGGCATGATTTTTAATGCCCGGAGCCAACTGTAGGCCACTTCGTGGTCTTCGAGTTCCCAGAACTCCATTCCTGGGCATGATTTCGAATGCCCGGAGCCAACTGTAGGCCACTTCGTGTTCTTCGAGTTCCCAGAACTCCATTCCAGGGCCACATTTTGAATGCTGAGGCAGGCTGATGCTGAGGCTGAGGCAGGCTGAGGCTGAGGCAGGCTGAGGCTGAGGCCGAGGCTGAAGGCAGACTGAGGCTGAGGCTGAAGCAGGCTGAGGCTGAGGCTGAGGCAGGCTGAGGCTGAGGCTGAGGCAGGCTGATGCTGAGGCAGGCTGAGGCTGAGGCTGAGGCTGATGCAGGCTGAGGCTGAGGCAGGCTGAGGCTGAGGCCGAGGCTGAAGGCAGACTGAGGCTGAGGCTGAAGCAGGCTGAGGCTGAGGCTGAGGCAGGCTGAGGCTGAGGCTGAGGCAGGCTGATGCTGAGGCAGGCTGAGGCTGAGGCTGAGGCTGATGCAGGCTGAGGCTGAGGCAGGCTGAGGCTGAGGCCGAGGCTGAGATTGAGGCTGAGGCTGAAGCAGGCTGAGGCTGAGGCTGAGGCAGGCTGAGGCAGGCTGAGGCTGAGGCAGGCTGAGGCTGAGCAGGCTGAGGCTGAGGCCGAGGCTGAGGCCGAGGCTGAAGGCACTGAGGCTGAGGCTGAAGCAGGCTGAGGCTGAGGCTGAGGCAGGCTGAGGCTGAGGCTGAGGCTGAGGCTGAGGCAGGCTGAGGCTGAGGCAGGCTGAGGCTGAGGCTGATGCAGGCTGAGGCTGAGGCAGCTGAGGCTGAGGCCGAGGCTGAAGGCAGACTGAGGCTGAGGCTGAAGCAGGCTGAGGCTGAGGCTGAGGCAGGCTGAGGCTGAGGCTGAGGCAGGCTGATGCTGAGGCAGGCTGAGGCTGAGGCTGAGGCTGATGCAGGCTGAGGCTGAGGCAGGCTGAGGCTGAGGCCGAGGCTGAAGGCAGACTGAGGCTGAGGCTGAAGCAGGCTGAGGCTGAGGCTGAGGCAGGCTGAGGCTGAGGCTGAGGCAGGCTGATGCTGAGGCAGGCTGAGGCTGAGGCTGAGGCTGATGCAGGCTGAGGCTGAGGCAGGCTGAGGCTGAGGCCGAGGCTGAAGGCAGACTGAGGCTGAGGCTGAAGCAGGCTGAGGCTGAGGCTGAGGCAGGCTGAGGCTGAGGCAGGCTGAGGCTGAGGCCGAGGCTGAAGGCAGACTGAGGCTGAGGCTGAAGCAGGCTGAGGCTGAGGCAGAGGCAGGCTGAGGCTGAGGCAGGCTGATGCTGAGGCAGCTGAGGCTGAGGCTGAGGCTGATGCAGGCTGAGGCTGAGGCAGGCTGAGGCTGAGGCCGAGGCTGAAGGCAGACTGATGGCTGAGGCTGAAGCAGGCTGAGGCTGAGGCGGAGGCAGGCTGAGGCTGAGGCAGGCTGAGGCTGAGGCTGAGGCAGGCTGAGGCTGAGGCTGTGACTGCGACTGCCGTTGCCACTGCGACTGTCATCGCGAATGCGACTACGACTGCGAGAACAGCAGAATTCTACAACTGGATTATCATCTGAATCTTACGGGGAATGCTTCCAGATATGCTCCTACACATCGCTGTTAGGTTGCTTTGCCGGGATAATTCTGTAATGCGAATGTGCGCGGCGCTAGGGCAAGAGCCACATTTTGAAAACCACCCGCCCTCCATCTGTGAAGCTGTTGTCAATGTTTAAGCTTCAGGCTCATGGTGAGGGAGTCTCAAGCGAAACGCCTGGCCCGCCCTAAAAACTGGCCTTGGGGTGCGACAGGGAGAAATCATTATTATGAGGATCTGGAATGGAGGTGGGAGGTAGGAGGTAGGAGGTAGGAGGTAGAAAGAAGGAGGTGGGAGGAGAAGGAAGACGAGGAGGAGTCAGGAGGTAGGAGGAGGAGGAAGGAGGTAGGAGCAGGAGGTACGAGGAGGAGGAGGAGGAGGAGGAGGTAGGAAGGCACGAGGAGGAGGTAAGAGGAGGAGGAGGAAGAGGAAGAGGAGCAGGAAGAGGAGGAAGGAGGTAGGAAGTAGGAGGAGGAAGATAGGAGGTAGGAGGTCGGGGGTCGGAGGTAGGAGGTAGGAGGTAGGAGGTAAGAGGATGATGATGAGGAGGAGGAGGGAGGGAGGAGGAGGAGGAGGAGGAGAGGAGGAGGAAAAGGAGGAGAGGGAGAGAGGGGAGGAGAGGAGAGAGGAGGAGGAGGAGGAGGGAGGAGGAGGAGGAGGAGGGAGGAAGTGGGAGGAGGCCACAGTGTCGACGCTCGGCGCCCGGCTCCTCCTTTTCTGGCCCCCGCAGGCGCAGCGGGGCCCCCCATGCAGGCCTCTGCGGCTCCTGTACGGCCCGGGCCCGCACGGACGAGAGGAGAGAGATGGGGCAGGGAAGAGGATGGGGGGGAGGGAAGGGAAGGAAGGGGAGGGGAGGGAGGAGGGCGGAGGAGGGAGGAGGGAAAGGAGACGCAGGGGAAGACGGAGGGAGGAGGGAGGGAGGAGGGAGAGAGGGAGGAGGGCGGAGGACGGAGGAGGGAGAGAGGTAGAGAGGGAGAGAGGGAGGGAGAGGAAGGGGGGAGGGAGGAGAGAGGAGGGAAAGGAGATGGAGGGAAGAGAACGGAGGAGGGATGGAGGAGGGATGGAGGAGGGTAAGGGATCGAGGGAGGAGGGGAGGGAGTGGGGGGATAGAGGAAAGAGGAAGGATGAGGGAGCGAGGGAGGGAGGGTGGAGGAGGGTAAAAGGAAGGAGAACAGAGGGAACTAAGGAGGGAGCAGCAGGAGGGCGAAGGAGCAGCAGGATCAGGTGGGAAGGGAAGGGAGGGGGGGAGGGAGGGCAGAGGAGGGGAGGGCAGGGGAGGGGAGGGAAGGGGAGGAGAGGGGAGGGGAGGGGAGGAGAGGGGAGGGGAGGGGAGAGAAGGGAAGGGAAGAGAAGGGAGGAAGAGGAGGAGCAGGCAGGAAGGCAGGCCGGCCGGCCGGCCGGCCAGCCGGCAGGCAGGCAGGCAGGCAGGCAGGCGGGAAGAGGAGCAGGAGGAGGCATCCAGACGGCCGCTTCGGGCCGCCGCCGGTTGCGGCCGGAGGCGCCCCCCCCTCGCCGCTCAGCGCCGGAACACCGACCTGGGGTAGGCCGCCTGGAGGCGCGCCAAAACGCCCGGGAGCTCGGGCGAAGCGGCCGCGTCGCCAGACGTCAGCCGCCGCATCAGCGCCTCGAGCTCCCGGAAGGCGTCCGTGTCCAGGGGCTGCGGCCTCAGCTCGCCGCGGGCCACCTCCGGGTCTCGGGCGCGCGGGGGGGTGCGAGCGGCGCTGGGCTCTCGGGGCGCGTCCTCTGGAGGCGCCTCCAGGATTCTGTGTGCTGACTTCTTGGCCGCGCGGTGCTGCACGGCCCCCTCCTGGTCCTCCTGCTCGATCCTCGAGGCTCAGGGCTCAGCGATCGAGGCTGCTGGACATCTTCGGCGCCCCCGTGGGCCTCTGGAGGCCTCCAGAGGCGCGGGTAGACCTCCATAGAAGCTCATGGACGTCGTCGTCGTCGTCGTCGTCGTCGTCGTCGTCGTCGTCGTCGTCGTCGTCGTCGTCGTCGTCGGCGGCGGCGGCGGCGGCGGCGGCGGCGGCGGCGGCGGCGGCGGCGGCGGCGGCGGCGGCGGGGCGGCGTCGGCGTCGGCGTCGTCGGCGTCGTCGTCGTCGTCGTCGTCGGCGGGGCGGCGTCGGCGTCGGCGTCGGCGTCGGCGTCGGCGTCGACGTCGGAGTCGGCGTCGACGTCGGCGTCGGCGTCGGCGTCGGCGTCGGCGTCGGCGTCGGCGTCGGCGTGGGCATCGGCGTCGGTGTCGGCGTCGTCGTCGTCGTCGTCGTCGTCATCGTCGTCGTCGTCATCGTCGTCGTCGTCATCGTCGTCGTCGTCGCCGTCGTCAACGTTGGCGACGGCCGGCTTTCGCTGCTTCAGGCCTCCCAGACCCCCGTTGTTCGGGCCCGAGGGGCCCGCAGAGAGCCCAGGCCCGCGGCGCTAGGCCGGCCACGCGGGGCTGGCAGGCGAGAGCTCCGGGCCCACGGACTTCATGGGCACGCATAAGCACGCTTTTCCCCACACAGCAGCAAACTCTCTAATGACCACCAAACCGAAATAGCCTGGAAGTGTGCTCTCGAAGTACTGGCCGGGAGGGCAGCACTGGCCAGACCGTATGCATGCCTCGGGGCTGTGCTTCGCCGGGCACACGCCGTAACAGTCGGAGGGCCATCGCTTGCCACTCAGGCACAAGCGCGGGGGGGGGAGAGTGGGGGCGAGGAGGGGGAGGATGAGGGAAAGAGACACACCAAAAACCCACGCGTGCGTACACCCTCAGGCTCTGCCCACTAAACTCGCAAAATTGGCCCTCACTGAAAGATCAAACAAGGAGAGGGGAAGAGTGCGTGCATCAGATTGCAAGCACTACCAATAAGAAAACGAATGATAACACGTATGCAAGTAACAGCAACAACAACAACAACAACAACAACAACAACAACCACAACAACAACAACAACAACAACAGCAGCAGCAACAACAACAACAATTACTAGCACGTGGGGACACTCCGTTCTCACCAGTGCCAGGGTTTTCATAGGAGGCGGGCAATACCCCCACTTTGTGGGGGGGCCGGTTCAAGCTCTACCAAATTTCCAAACGACTCTTCGCCACCACCCACACCCAGCTTCCCGCCCTATGACGTTCGGACACTTCACTTCGTGGCATGCGGACGACCGTGGCTACTATTCAGGGCCCCGCGGCCGACGACGACGGCGTGCGCGCGCGAAGAAAAAACGAATGTGTCCCGCATGGTATTATTTGTCAGGGATGATGGCCCTGGCAGGTGCGCAACCGTTGTTGCAGAAGTTCGAAAAAGTTGCTCGCAAAAGCCCGTTTGACAGAAATGTTGAAAAAGTGTTGGGTTTCCTACGAATCCGCAAGAGCGCGCGGGATGAAATTTTGACATTTTTTTTGAAAAACCATTGGTTTTTTGATGTTTTTATGTTAAAATCGCTACGAAAACTAAGGTTTTGGAAGGATTTCGTCTTGCGCGCGCGAATGTCCACTTTACCTTATTTTTTGCAAGGGATTCTTGAAATTTGATTATATTAGAACAAGAAATGTCATTTTCTATTGTTTTTTGCAAGGGAAAGCGGATTACAACAAAACAACCGGATCCTGTACACACCCTCTTTTCTGAGGCTTCCTCACGAAAATGATGAAAATGTAGCTGCGGCCTAGGCGGCGCAGGGGGGGCGCGCACCAGGGGGCCCAACAATAATTATTCTTTAGAATAAATAATGTTCAACAACAACAACAACAACAACAACAACAACAACAACAACAACAACAACAACAACAACAACAACAACAACAACAACAACAACAACAACAACATCAGCAGCAGCAGCAGCAGCAGCATCATCATCATCAGCATCGTCATCACCTTAAAAGTGATCGCTCTTACTGGCACGCGTGTCTTGCATTCCGTATACCCCAACCCTCGATACCCGCCCACTTCGTCTTCGATTGCACCCCCTTTCGAGGGGAATCATGGACAAATATCGAACGGGAGCCCTTGTCGCCGTGTCCGGGCCTCCACCAACTTGCCTGAATTACGGGAAAGTCTCGAGCGAGAGCGCCGTTCCTGACTTGGGGGGCCTTCTTGGCCAGGGGCTCTCGGAGTAAATCGTGAGGAAGTATCGAGCATGAGCCCTTGCCGTCGTGGCTGGGCCTCCGCCAACTTAATTGAATTGCGAGGAAGTCTCGAGCAAGAGCGCCGTTCCTGAGTTTGGGGGCCTCTCTGGCCAGGGTGTCTCGGGGTAAATTGTGCGGAAGTATCGAGCGAGAGCCGTTGTAGCTGGGTCTCCAAGGGCGCACACTTAGGGTCAAGCCAACGCTCGAGCGGGAGCCTCGCTTTCAGAGAAAATGTAGCTGGTGTCGAGGCGAGAGCGCACGGAACCGTTCCCAGAGATCAACTATATAACTATTCTTGAGAAATGAATATTCAACAGCACTAAGGAAGCCTTGGGGTACAGGTCGGCGGGATCGGGGCTGCGGTAGTCGCCGTCGCTCAGCTTGTCCAATTCGCTCACGTCCGCCCACACGGCTCCGACGCTCTCCCAGTCCGGGACGCTCTTCGGCTCGCAGTCGCGCTCGTCCTCTGGCGCGGCCAACAGCACCGCCCTGATGGTCCCCCGGCCGTCCACCATCAACCGCAGCAGCCCTGTCCGGGCGGCACCAACCGACCACACCACCGATCCTGGCCAAGCCCATTCCAGGAACAGTCAGCACAGAATCGGGAAATCGGATCGGATCGGAACACGTACCATGTCGGACCGCATCGGCAAAGAGTCGGAATCGAATCGAATCGGCAGCGCCATGATGCGCAACAGCGCCATGCACACATCGAGCCGCATCGGATCGCCCGAACATTGGAATCGAATCGAACCAGGCCAGCCGGAGCCGATATCGAATCGGATCGCATCGGTCGGATCGAAAGGCACCCTGCGGTCATCCTGGGCCCCGGGTCGGTGCATACACCTCCGTGGCAAAGCCGATCCTGGGCCCCAGTATAGACCCTGCCAGGCTCGACGTCCCCCGACCTGTGACACGCACTGCCACGCCAGCCTCCTCGAGCGCCTCGCGCCGGCAGGCCTCCACAAAGCCCTCACCCCTGTCTAGGCGCCCAGCTGGCAGCCAATACCCGGGCCTCCCGCCGGAGATGCCCGCCGGCTCGTTCACGAGGAGGAACTTGGCGTCCGACGGCCGCTGGCACACGCACCAGGCGAACGCGGCGTACGGCGCCGCCGCCAGCTCGCGCTCCTCCGGCGGGCCGTGCTCGTTGTGCAGGTGCATCGCCAGGTTGCCCACGCGGGCCGCGCACACTGGGCAGACGCCCCCCTCGTTGGGATCCGTCGCGTGGTGGAAGTGCATGTGCAGGTGCAAGCCGTCCTCGCTCAGGCTGGGCAGCGCACACGCCGGGCACCTGTAGGGCCCGGGGCTGCGCAGCACCAGCGCGGCGCGCCGCAGCGCCACGCCGGCGTCCCGCAGCGAGGCGGTCACCATGCGCGCGCCAGCGTCGAAGCAGTCCAGCCGTGTCCGAGCGTCCCTGGCCGCAGTGTAGCTCAGGACGATCACGAAGGTCCGCCGGAAGGCGGCGGCGCGCAGCTCGGACAGCAGGGGCCAGCACGAATCGTCGCGGCCCCTGCCAAGCGCGCAGATGACGGCCGCCAGCTGCCCCGCGCCCAGCTCGTGCAGGTTCCGCAGGGCCTCCGCCTCGGCTGCACGCAAGGGTGCCCCCAGGACAGAGAGATCGTTGGCGCGCGGCTTGCCGATCGTTGCGTGGTGTGCGTCAGTAGAGACCTTCGCGCTTGGGCTCGCCCCCCCCCTCCTACCCACCCACCGCGCCCCCCGAAAGCCGCGCACGACAGGCCACTCCAACGAAGGGTCCCTCTTACGTGTAGCCGACCGCCGTCGTTAGAGCGACGACGGGGCAGAGCCTGGCCTCCTCGACCAGGACCTTGCAGTCGCTGCACCTGTCTGGCTTGGCCAGGATAAGGACGCAGCTGCGCTCGCCCATGGCCTCAAAAGCAGGAGGTTCGGCTCCCGCCGCCGCCGCACCCCACAAACGATGAAAAACCCACCCCCCCGAGCCAAAGTGGCTGCAAGACAACAACGACGGCGACGACGACGACGACGCCACCGCCGCCACTGCCGCCGACGACGGCGGCGGCGGCGGCGGTGACGGCGCGACGGCGACGGCGACGGCATCGGCGACGCCGACGCCGACGCCGACGCCGACGGCGACGGCGACCGCGACGACGACGACGACGACGACGACGACGGCAACGGCGAAGGCGACGCCGACGGCGACGGCGACGGCGACGGCGACGGCGACGGCGACGGCGACGGCGACGGCGACGGCGACGGCGACGACGACGACGACGACGACGGCGACGACGACGACGACGACGACGACGACGACGACGACGACGACGACGACGACGACGACGACGGCAACAACGACGGCGACGGCGACGGCGACGGCGACGGCGACGGCGACGGCGACGGCAACGGCGGCGGCGGCGGGCGGCGACGGCGACGGCGACGGCGACGGCGACGGCGACGGCGACGGCGACGGCGACGGCGACGGCGACGGCGACGGCGACGGCGGCGGCGGCGGCGGCGAAGGCGGCGGCGACTGCGACGGCGACGGCGACGGCGGCGGCGGCGAAGGCGGCGGCGACGGCGACGGCGACAGCGACGGTGACGGCGACGGCGACGGCCACGGCGAAAGCGACGGCGACGGCGACGGCGACGGCGACGAGGACCTGCATAGTCGTCCTGGGCGTCGTCGTCCAGGCACATCGGGTGCCCAGATTTTGGGGCGCACGCGACGAGGACGAGGGGAAGGAACAGCAGGAGCGAGTGAGCGAGCGCGCCGTTCAGGCAGAGGCCTGGCCCACCGTCGAGCGGCACGGCGGTGCCTCGGCGCATCGCACGTGCACATGAGGTGAAGACTGCGTGCGGCCACCTCTTTTCTGGTCCTCCACGTCGTTGTTGGTGGTGTTCCACGTCGTTCTGGTCCTCCACGTCGTCGGGGAGAGGGAGACGAGGGAGGAACCTGTTCGATCGGCAGCGAGCTAGATCAAGCAAGCGGTCGGCTCACGGCGGGACGCGTCGAAAGCGAATTGCGCGCACGGGAGCGGGAAGGCAAGAGCGAAGGGGGGGAGAGCCGCGGGACGGCCAGAGCGCCCTCAGAGCACGAGGCACTTCGGAAGGTGCCGCTGTCAGTGCGTGAGCAGATGCATCGCAAATCCGCGAGGGGGGAAACATGCGGCCCAACCCTTGCAGGAATCGCTGCTCAGGAAGAAAGTACTCCTGCACCGTCGGCCGGGCCAAGACGCTGCAGAAGCCTGAAGGGTAGGCTTTTGCAGCACCAACCTCCTGCCCTGTCACAGCCAGCTAGTGCCAGATGGCCAGCAAGATATGAGCACAAACAGCCAAAGCCCCTCGTTCTGATGAAGAGGGGGGCACCAAGACATGGCGCATGAATCCCTTAGAGCTTCATGGGTTTGCGAGTGGGGGTCCCGTGGGCGCACTGGTGAATGGTGTGCCTCAAAGCGCGCTGCTGATCATACGACGGCTGACCCTGGGGAAAGTACCATGAGCTCGGAGCCTCAGGGGGGCTCAAGGCTTAGCAGGACGTTTCATCATGAGTGGAACTGAAAACCTCCAACACGGGACAGCAAACTATAAGGTGATTCGCCAAAGTGTGTTCCCGAGCGAGAGGTGTTCATGCTCGAGGGCGTTGGTCCAATTTAGGCCCCCTGAGCCCGCAGGCGCTCAGAGGCCTGGGAAGTTTCATCCGCGAGATACCACCCTGCTGCCCTGAATGAATCGCTGCTCCTGACGACAGACCAAGGTTCACACGGGAGGCCCGCCACGACGGCTACAATTAGAGAAGCACACAACTTTGCATCCAGAGGTGGCTTGCGTCACTTCCGGTGAAATTTCCACCAACGGAGTCGCTAATCACATCAATCCGCCACCGTGCCTGCGTGGTAGAATGCCAGGTTCGGTAGGTTTCTGTAACATTCTACACCAGACAGCATGATCAAGAAACATATCATTCAAGAAATCTGGGCCAACCTCTTGGAAATTCCTTGAAACAAGCCTGGATCCGCCGTCAACGCTGGAGGAACGAACGTGCTTAAGAAATCGGGCCAGCTTGGCAAGTGTGTTTGAAAACGCTGGCCCAGCGAAGACGCCCAAGATAGCCCCAAGACCGTCCAAGAAGCCTCCAAGACGTCCCAGGCCCCCTCCAAGAGCACCCCCAAGAAGGGCCCAAGAGGCCACACTCAGTACTTTCCCATCGGAAACTTGCACTTCTAGCATATACGACGTTTCGGCCTTCACGGCGTCACAGACAGCTTCGTCTTCAGGGTCGGCGGCACCGGCCGCAAGGCCTTCGCAATCGGGCCAGCTTGGCAAGTGTGTTTGAAAACGCTGGCCCAGCTTCTCCGGAGGAGGCTTCTTCACCAGACGCTCGACTGTAGGGGCCCCCCCATCTCCCTCCCCAGGGATCCTGGGGCCCGCCTGGCGCCGTCTGGGGCGTCCAAGATTGCCCACGACGGCCTTCAAGACGGCCGAGTAGGCCACCAAGAGCGCCAAGACGGCCCAAGATACATCCAAGACGGCCCAAGATGGCACCAGGACGGCCCAAGATGGCCCGAAGACGGCCCACAAGTGGCCCCGCACGAATGCCCAGGAGAGCTTCGAGAGGACCTCCAGGAGGACCCGAAGGGGCCAGAATATGCGATGTCCCTTTGTCCCTCGGGTGCTGCCATGCCGTTCGCGTCATCGCCTTTTCGAGCCTTCGCCAGCCCAAGACACCCGAGATGGCCCGAAGATAGCCCAGGAGGGCCCAAAGACGACCCAAGAAGCCCTCACCCCAAGATTTAAGTCGGACCTGTCCTCCTACAGGCGGATTCTGGACGAAAAATGCCTACTTTTTTGCCAGCCTTGAATATTCCTTCTGTAGAGGGACAGGCCCGACTTAACCCAAGATGGCCCAAGAGACCCCCACGACGACCCTTCGGGGCCTTGAGTGGGCGCCAAGACGGCCCCGAAAGGCCACCAAGGCGGACTCCGAAAGCGCCAGATTGCCCAAGAGCGCCCCAAGACGGCCCCAGGCGTCCCCACGAGGCCCTGAGAGGCCCCCAGGACACCCCCCAGGAGGCATCCAGAAGGCTCTCGAGAGGCCCCCCAGGAGGCCCCACAAGAGGAGGAAAGAAGGGGGGGGAAGGGAGGAAGACGACGAGGAACAGAATGAGAGACGCCTCAACACGACGCCGAAGACTGTGTCACATGATACGGCTCCCCCAAGCCTCAAGACTCGAGGTATCACACGTGACGGCCTCCCGTGCGCTACTCAAACAAACGCCACCCTGAAGGCTAAGCTGGCACAGTGGCAAGACTTTCCGGAGGCACCGCACATGTAAAACATCGGGTGATGCGCCTGTCCAGTGCCGGATGCCTCCCCGTCTTCTGAAACCTGAAAGGAAGTGGAGCTCAAGCGTTTGAGCGCGAGCGGATGGGAAGACACATAGAACATGTGCAGGCTGTACCTGGGACTGCTGTTCCCCTCTCTTCTCCCCCTCCACCTCCTCTTCCCCTGTCCCCCTCATCCTCATCCATCTTCTCCTTCAGCTCTGACACGCTTCGAAGTACTTGAGGGCGCTGCATAACATCTGATAGCACGGACGAGCGAAAGAAGGCCAGCTGAAGGAGTCCTCTGGAGGAGGAACGAGCCGAGCATGCCGGCGGGTAGGATGAGCAGGGTCATCTCTGGGGTCTGCCTGCAGAAACGAAGCCCGCGCAACGGCGCGTGCCACGAAACGGCGTGCACGCCAAGAGCAAGTCCAGAGCAAGGCGGGAAAGCGGGGGGAAAAGGGCAGCAAAGGACGCAGAGAGAAAGGGAGGAACAGGAAAAGCGGGAGGAGGGGGGAGAAGAACGCGGAGAGAAGAGAGCGCAAGCAGGAGACGAGGGGGACGGGGATCGGCCACGAGGCTCGCGAGGGGAGCGGAGCCGCTGCAGCGGAGCGCCGTGACCGCGGGGAGGAAGCGGCATCGCAGTGAAGAGAATGGCCACCTCGATCGTCCTCCTCCTCCTCCTCGATCATCACCCTCCTCGATCATCCACTTCCCCCTTCTCCTCGATCCTCCTCATCCCTATCCTCGATCGTCGGGCGATGGCAGCAAGATGAAATGCCGCGGGCAAAGACCACGAGAACGGACGAGGGGTACGGGATGCGAAGGAGCAGCACGAGTGCGTTTTGCAGCGCACCGCTGCCAGCCAAACTCCAGAATGCGCCACTGCAAGGGTCCACTACTCATTGCTCCCTCCTCTGTTCTCTCTCCTCCCTATCGTTTTCTAAGCCCCCACAATAGGAGGAGAAGGAGGAACAAGAAGAAGAGGGAGGATGACGAGGGGAAGGGAGGAGGGAGGAGTGCATACAAGAGGCCAGCACAAGGAGGAGCATCAGAAGTCAGCAACAGAGAAAACTCGCTGCCTGAAGAAAGGCAACTGCTGCAGCGAGCCCCAGGCGTTGATCGAGGCGAATCCCTCCAGCCCTCCGCTTCACAAAGCAGTTCCCTCTCCTCATCCTCCGCCTTCTTCCAAGACCTCCTCGCGGCAATAACGAATCACGACGTGCGGCGTTGGCCACCTTCGGCTTCCAGCACCATTTAAAAATACACTGGATGACGGGCCCTGAAGAAGAGGTCGATACCTCCGAGGGCCCACGTGTTCCGTGCACACGTGTGTAGACATACACAGAAATTAATATCCGTGTATAGGTTTGTGTACAATCGTACACACATACACACATGACATATATATATACGTGTGTAGACATACATATATTCATACGTGCGTGAATACGTGCGTACATACATACATACATCCATACATGCATGCATACGTACATGTAGACATGTATACATGCATACATACACATGTGCATGTATACATGCATACAAGCATACAAGCATTTATACATTCACACACACACACACATACATACATTCCGTCATACATACATACATACATACATACATACATACATACATACGTACGTACGTACGTACGTACGTATACATACATACGTACGTACGTACGTACATACATACACACACACACACATGCATACATACATACATACATGCATACATGCATACATGCATATATACATATATATACATACATAAATAAATAAAGATATGCATGCATGCATGCATACATACATGCATGCATGCATGTATGCATACATGCATGCATACATACATACATACATGTATACATGCATACATACATACAGACATACCGACAGACAAACAGACAGACAGACAGGCAGGCAGGCAGACAGACAGACTGACAGGCAGGCAGGCAGACAGACAGACATACGTATGACAGTATGAGAACAGCTGTGTCTACATCTATGTATAACTATACTTGGACGCATGAGCGCGTTGTGTAAGTGCGCGCACACGACGAAACAAAAGGCAACAACACGTAACAGTTCGAATGTCTTGGCTGCTATCCCCCTAGTCCTCCTCCTCCTCCTCATGCTCCTTCACCTGCTGTTCCTCCTCCTCCTCTCCCTCCCTTGGAGGGCGAAGGATTGTCAAGATGGGGCTGTCGCCCTGGACGCGCGTAGACTCGTCTTCAAAGTCCAACGGCTGCCCGGGTCGAGGACGGCTCCTTTTCAGAGCGAGGTTCTCGCTTGAGAAGGCCCCACAGCTTCTTACTGGCCGCACCTGCAGAAGTGTGCGACGATGACACGTATTGAGGTCGGCCTCTTGTCAATATGGGGCTCTCGTTTCAGACAGCTATACGTTTCACTGCGAGAAGTCTCAGGTTGCTCGACTAGGCGGCGCGCCCTGGGGGGAGGTGAGAAGGGGCGGGCCTTCTCAGAAGGCTCGGATGTCCACCGGCCTTCTGAAAAGTTAAGGCTTCCCCGAAAACACAGAGAACCCCTCGGAAGGCGCTAAGGCTTCTGAGAAGCCCCACTGCCTTCTGAGAGGGCCTTCTCCTTCGCACTTCCCCCCTCGCTCGCCGCCGATCACAACAGAGCTCCCACCTTTCAAGTGGGGGGCGCCTCGCGCGCAAAAAGAGACAGAGAATGCTTGCACAGACAAATCAAGAGGGGACTTCGGACGGGAAGATAGATTGCAGTATCGTTGACACAGCTTGAGTTTACTGGGGTCCTCCTTCTCCTCGTCAATCCCTATTCCTCGTGAATCGCCGTCCAAACAGGCCACCGACGTGTCAGATCCCCCACACATGTAATTCAAGTACAGGGAGGTAGTTGTTTGTATCTAGTCTGCGCGCGCGACCTGGGGGGCCCGCGGACCTCACCAGGGCGGAAGTCGGACTAAGACCGCGCGAAAGACCCCCAAGAGCCCGCCAAAAGCGCGGGCCAAAGCGTGTCAGGCCCGATGCTGGCCCGAGGAAGGCCCAAAAATGGCTACACGATGGTGGCAAGGTGACTCTAAAGTGACCCAAGATGGTCCAAGACAGCCCAATCGACTGCAACGACGGCCCACGATGGCTGACGAAATTCTCCTCGGAGGTTCCCGACAGGACCAGAAGCAACAAAACGCATACTTGTTCTATGATATTGGCCTTCCTGTCGGTGCGTGCTTCAACGGGCTCCTCGGTGCCCGAGGTGGTCCCAAGAGGGCTCCAAAAGAGAGCGGCCCAACAGGTGGCGCCAGAGGGAGGCAGGCCCCAAACCGGACCAAAAACTGCTCATGATGACCCCAACCTGGTCCAAGGAGGTCCATGGCCGCTTCCAAGAACGCTCCAAGAGGCCCGACGAAGCCGTCGAGGGCCCTGGGAGGCCCGCAGCTTCGTGGATATATTTCGCAAGCTCTCCGCCGCCTCCGGCGGTGTGCGTTGCGAGCAGGAGCACAACAAAAACCACAGGAAGGCGCGGGATTGACAGTGTAGCACTGCACACATGACAAGTGTTAACGAGCAGAATCAGAGCAAAGCCCCAGGAGAGCGAGACAGAGACAGTGTAGCTCAAGATGGACACGGCGGTGGCCCGGTATCCCCCGCGACATGCCCCCCCCGCGATAGCCCCCTGATAGCAGCTTGAGATGCCCAAAGCCCTCCAAGATGACATGAAAAATGTTGGGCATTCTTTGTCAAAAATGCAAGCTGCAATGGACTTCTCGAGGCCCGAGGTGGCCCCAAGAGAGCCCCCAACAAGAGCCCCAAGACGGCCCTAACATTCTCTGAGAGGGCTGAGCTCCACGAGAGCCCAAAGAGGGCTCAAGAGCGGGCGAGGGCTCCCCCCAAAGCGGGAACCTAAGTGTTTCGGGCCCCATGGTGGACCCAGGACTGCCTCAAGACTCCAATATGCTGCCAGTATTGTCTCAGGATGGCCCAGGACGGTCCAAGCCATTCCAATGATACTCCAAGACAGCCCCCAAGATGCCCCGAAAAGAGCCCACAAGATGAGGAAAAAAAACAACCTTTACGCTATTCTTGCAGTAGTGTTGGCGTCTGACGGGCTGCTGGGGCCCAAGATGATCCCAAGATTCCTTAAGATGGATCCAAGCAGAACACAGAGAAGGCCCCAACTGGGCCCCGAAGACCCCAAAGAAGGCCCCAGAAGAGCCAAAAGACGGCCCCAAGAGGAGCCCAATAGTGGGGACCAATGGATAGCAGGCCCCAAGACGGCCCCGAAACAGCCCCACGAGGCACCAAGACAGTCCCAAGGTGGTCCAAGATGGTCCAAGACAGCCCCCAAGAGGCCCACAAACGCCCCAAAGAAGGCCCCGAAACGGCCCGAAGAGGCCCCAAGGTCTCCCACAGGTGGCCCAAGATGGTCAAAGGCAGCCACCGAGAGGCCCCTCAGAGGCCCCGAGAAGCCAAGGATGCCCCCCAAAAAAACTCAAGGCTCCCAGGAGTCCCCCAAACTGCTCCAACAGCGTGCTAAGCGGCTCAGCATAACATAAACGTCCCTGTGTGCTCATGAGTACAGCCTTCTCGTGCTGTCGGGCTTCGACCGTAAAACTTGAGTGGGGGCCGGTTCCGTTGAGTGTTGCCCTCCATCTACCTAGCGACTGCTTGTCCCATGCGCGAGCTCCACAAGGCTGCTTGGGGAAGCTACCGCCACCCAACAAGCATCCAATCGCCACGGGCACAGAGGCAGACGTCAACGGCGCCACAAGATGGTCTAGTGGAATGCGCGAAGCTGTCGCACCACCAGACGTTCCCTTAAGACGGGCTGGGCGTTTCGCCTCAGAATTCCTCACCGTTCCTCCTCCGCTTCGTCCTCCTCCTCAGCACGAATCATTTTGGAAACGGGGCTATCGCCGTCGCGCTGCGCACACTCGCTGTTCACCGAAACTCACGAGGGCAGAAAGCGAACCGTTTCCGAAACGAGGCTCTCGCCCTCGCGCTGCGCACACTCGCCTTACAGATCGAACTGCTACACGGATGTGTGGCCACTAGTGTCAAAATGGGCTCTCACCTCGGCCCTGCGCACACTCGTCTGAAACAGTTCCAGCGTTTGCACGGATGGAGGGCAGCTCCTCTTCAGAATGGAGCTATCGCATGAGAGCTCCTCCAAATCGATTACCGCGTATGCAAAAACGCACCACACGCATGGAGGGCAGCTCCTTTTCAACATGAGGCCCTCGGTCAAGACATCGCTGGATCGAATGGCCAGTGATCAGAGTTACTACAACAGCTAAACGAGTTGAGGGCGATTCCATGTTCGAAGCAAGGCTGTCGCTTGGCACCTTCCTTGATCGCACTCCACACGTCTCGAAGGACGGGAGGGTGTGTTGCAACATCGTTGCAACACATTGGGTTTACTCTGGTCCCCGTCCTCCTCCTCATCATCATCAGCAGCATCAGCATCATCATCATAATCACCATCATCATCATCAGAATCAGCATCATCATAATAATCATCATCATCAGCAGCATCCTCATCATCAGCATCATCCTCATCATCAGCATCATCAGCAGCAGCATCATCATCCTGCTCCTCGCACTCTTTTCTTGTGCTGTCGTGGCGCGTCCCTGACCAGTTTGCCAAGTAGGCTGTCGGCGCAGAAACCGAACAGACACTCAGACGGAATCACCTATCGAGCTACATGATGCACAATCACGTTCACAGCCACACAGAAGTGCGGACCTCGAGAACATCGAGAGTCAGACATTAGCCTCCTCCTGCTGCCCGCGGCCCCCTCTCCTCCCCTCTTCCTCCCAGGACCCAGCCCTCCGTCAGGTGGGCCAACAGCTGGGCCCAGCACTTCACGTTCAGCTCGAAGTTGTTCTGAGAGTCGCATGGACAGAGCAACGACGAGCAGGTTTGAGACAGGCAAGAACGAGTGAGTGAGTGGAGCATCCACCTCCTCCTCCTCATCCTCCTCATCATCCTCCTCATCCTCATCCGTGCCTCGTCCTTCTCCGCCGCGGAGCCGCGGGCACTGAGCAGAGCTTCCCAAGGTCACAATGCGTGCTCCAAATTGGTCGCGTGCTGCAAATACTCTGCGAAGGCCTCAAGCCCCTAGCTTACCGATACACCAGGCGCTCTCAGGGTGTGCCGCTGGAGGTTCCCCGAGACCCTGTGGAGTGCGGGTCGCCATCCAGACTTCAACGTGCCTTGCGATGGCGCGAGGGGGCCGTTCGTCCTGGAAACCAGTTTGGAAGTGTCTCGGGCCGTCCTGGGGGCACCCGGGGGTTGGCCCAAGAATGCAAGTGGGCCTGAAAACCGTGAGCTGTGTGTAAACGTGTCGGGCGCTCGGCGTTGCGTCCAAGACGGCGCGAGAAGCCCGAAGACTGAGCCAAGACAGCCCAACAGGCCCCCAAGATGGCTCCAAGGGGAGCCCGAGAGAGGAAACTCAGTTCAGCCCCGGGAGCCCTAGAATCCCCTCAAACATGGCCCACGAGACCACCAGCAAGCACCCAAGAGGCACACCTAGGCCCCCAAGAAGATGCAAAAAGAGGCCCCCAGGAGAAGAGGCTTCCAAGAGGCCCCCACTAGGCCTGCAAGGAGCCCCCTGGAGGCTCCCTCAAGAGACCCCAAGAGGCCTTCCAGAGGCTTCTGGTCTACGACCCGTGCACGGCAGCGGCATGGGCCAAAGGCTACTACGTCTGCCGGTTCATGCCGTCTACAGGGACGCAGGGCAGCGTGCCAAACTCGGTGGGGGAAGGGCCTCCGAAAGCTACATCCTGGCCGGTCGGCCCGAGTTGCCAGGCGAGCCCAGCGCCGAGCCCAACGGGGCCCCGGAGACCCTGCCCTCCAACTGGTTCTTATGAGTCCAGACTGACTCAGGGATGCCACAAGACGGTCCAAGAGGCCGTTTTCGGGGTCCACACGAGCCTGCTCGAAACCACTGCGACCTGACTGAAGCCCAATACACGCTTTAACTGGCGAGGGACCTAGCCCTTGTCAGCTTCCCGATTCGGGGTTGCGTAACGCGTAAGGAGCACAACGAACTGCGCGGGGAAGCCATACAAACATTCTTCCTGGGGCCGTAGGCGGCGCTCGCGAGAGGGGTGGACCGAAACGGGCTGAAGCACGCGTGCAACCTTTCCCACTGAGGCCGCAGGTGGAGCTCCCTATAGGATTCGGTCCTCGGCGGAGGTGTGCCGAAATTGACGGCACAGCCATGCAGGCCCTACGTGTGTGCCGAAATGGGCGGGGGGGCGCTATGCGGTACCACCCCCTGGGGGCTCCCGATGGGGCCACGAAACATCCGAGGGGTGTGCCGAAATGGGCTGGAGTGGGCTATGCGGTACCACCCCCTGGGGCCTTCGGTGGAGCTCCCTGTGGGGCCACGAAACATGTGATGGACATGCCAACATGAGCCCGAGACGGCATGCGAACGCAGACACTGGGGCCCTCGGTGTTCCCAACGAGGCCACCACACGTGTGAGCGGTGTGGCTACACGGTGACGAGGATGCTCATGGGGATAACGATGCTGAAAGTGATGACTGTGATGAGGATGGGGATGGTGACAGGAAGGATGATGCTGGTGAAAAGGATGAGGGGGAGGGTGGGGCGACAAGGAGGATGACGCGGGGCACTGCTGATTCACATCGAGGACCCCGCCCTACAGGATAGATAAGAACGGGTCGGTGTTGCTACGTTCTTCGCCTGTTCTGTCTTGTGGCCGACTTCGGAAACCCTGAACCCAAACTTGTTGTCACCCCTTGGGAGGCCGCCTTCTACGGCGGGGGCACTGGATAGGGAACCCCTAGATCCGGAATCCAGGGCCTGGAGGCAGGTGGAACTCCAATCGAAGCTTGGCCGTGGACATCACCGCCGCCCTCCTCAGATAAGAAACCCTCCAGGGCCTGCAGCCTCCCGGGCGCACTCCTCAACCAACGCCCCCGCCGTGCTTCCGCCGCTGCAGCCTCCCGGGCGCACTCCTCAACCGACGCCCCCCCCGCACTTCCGCCGTCCTCCGCCGGCGGAGCCGCCCTGGCTCTGCTTCCGCCGACCTTCCGCCGTCCTTCCGCCGAGGAAGGAGAGGGCCACTCGCTCGACCCTCGAAGGCGCCTCGTGCACAGCGGCGGCCACGACGGTTCCAGGCGATCCCCAACGCCACCCCCCGATGGCCCGAGGTGGCCTACAGGAGAGGCCTACAGGGGTCCGCGGGAGAGCGCGCACAGCCCCCCCCCCCCCCCCCGGAGGCTCCCGGAGGATCCCCATAGGAGGCCCCCGGAAGACCAGGCTGAGCCCCCGGAGGTCCGCCAGAGGCCTCTCAGAGGCTCCAGATCGCAAGGCGGCTCCTCCTCCTCCTCCTCCTCCTCCTCCTCCTCCTCCTCCTCCTCCTCCTCCTCCTCCTCCTCCTCCTCCTCCTCCTCCTCCTCCTCCTCCTCCTCCTCCTCCTCCTCGGCCCAGGGACATTCCCGAGAGGCTCCAGGAGGCTCCCCAGAAAAGACCACCAGGCCCCCCCGAGAAGCTCTCAGAGGCGGATCCCAGGATGCCTCGAGCGGCTCACGAGTGGCTCGCAGGAGGCGCCCCGGAGGCCCGCAGAGGCCCGAAAGAAGGCCCGTCAGCCCTCGGAGAATCGCACCATCCCTGCACAGCTCTGCAACAGCAGCAAGCGTATGCAAAAAGATGCAAGCGTGGCTGCACCAGACAACCTGGCTCTCCTCCCAGATAATTTCCACCAGATGCACGGCCCGGTATCCATCCACCGACGTGGATTCGTCCGATGTTACTGTGGTGCGGAAGACCTTCATCAGCGAATGTGACGAACAAACACGATTGCGAATGGCCGCCACGAGTACAGAAACCAATGCCCACGGTCATGTGATAGGGCACGCTGACGATGACCTCAAAATGCGAGATCCGCAAGGGGAGGGGGCGGCAGTGGTTCGCCGTGGGCGTCTTGAATCAAAACCCCTCAGCGTCGCAACATTAGACGTGCCCACGCTCCCTCGACGAACGAAGGAGGGCGCCGCAGTCGAACAGAAGGCCTGGTGCGGGGCCTGTGCCTTGCCCGCGCTGGCCCCGTGGCCGCGACCTTGCAGCCTGGTTTGCTCTCCTGGGTCGCCTGACTTCGCTTAAGTCGGGCGTGTCCCCCTACACGGGGATTCTCGACGAAAAATAAAAGATACTCATAAGATATTCCAAAGTTCTCAGAAAATACTAAAACCAGTCCCCAGACTACTATGTTTGGACTGTTTTACCTAACAGCGAAGACTGATAGGTTTCTAGTAAGGTCAAAAGAGAGCATCATGACTCCTCAGGGGGGTCGGGGCGGGACCCGGGGCGGCTGCCGTCGAAGCCCAAATCGCCTGGGACATCCTCGCAAAATCGCTCTTGGCGCTGCTAGAACTCAATTCCCGGCGTACATTTTGGATGCCCAGAGCCAACCGTAGGCCACTTCGTGGTCTTCGAGTTCCCAGAACTCCACTCCCAGCGTAAATTTTGGATGCCCGGAGCCAACTGTAGGCCACTTCGTGGTCTTCGAGTTCCCAGAACTCCATTCCCGGCGTACATTTTGGATGCCCGGAGCCAACTGTAGGCCACTTCGTGGTCTTCGAGTTTCCAGAACTTCATTCCTGGGCCACATTTTGGGTGCCCGGAGCCAACTGTAGGCCACTTCGTGGTGTTCGAGTTCCCAGAACTCCACTCCCGGGCCACATTTTGGATGTCCGGAGCCAACTGTAGGCCACTTCGTCTTCTTCGAGCTCCCAGAACTACATTCCCGGGCCACATCTTGCTTACTGGATGTCTCCGTCAGATCTCTCGCCACCCGATTCCCGGTTTGTTCTGTGTCGTCATCGTGCAGGGCAAGACGGCGGACCCAGGCGTCATCGTGCACTGGACGCTTCCGCCAGAATCTAATACTTGAGACTCAATCGGTTGATAGCAGCGTCTCGTTTGGACCTACATCCATTGATAGCAGTGTCTCGCTTCGACTTCAATGCATTGATACAAACATCTAATTTGGAGATACAGTTATCGAAAGCCGTGAGTCGTTCGAAAGTACACCCATTGATAGCAGTGTCTCGTTCGAAGATGGGTTGATTGATAGCAGTGTCTCGTTTGTACTACTCTTGCTACTAGTGTTTCTACTGCTACTACCATTGCTCCCATTACTCCTACTCGTTCACTCCACCCACTACAACTACTACTTCACTTTTACCGCTACTACCATCACTACTACTTCTACCGCTATTACTACTGTTACTATTACTGCTGCTGCTGTTGCTGCTGCTAGTGTAGCTCTTGCTACTGCAACTACTGGCAGTGCCACTGCGACTGCGACTGCGACTGATGTTGCCACTGCGACTGCCACTGCGAATCCGAATGCGACTGCGAGACCACCTGAATTCTACAACAGCACTCTTACATGAATACCAAAGGCAATGTTTCCAGCTATGCTTCTACACATCGCTGTTCGGTTGCTTTGCCGGGACAATTTGAATAGTCCTCCTGTAGAGGGGCGAGCCCGACTTAGAAGACTTCGCCACTCGCGCCCCGCGATGCGCGACGAGTGCCTCTCTTCGCGGCGTCGCGCCCTCGCGCTGCCCCCGGGAGGTGGACAGCTCGGCAGCCCGGGCCCGCGCAGCGCGCGAGGCGCGCAGGCCGGCGCGCCCCCCCCCCTGCGCGCCAAGCCGCGTGGCTCTCCTGCCCCCGGAGGGCGCTCCCTGCCGTCCCCCGCCCCCGGGGGTCTGCTGGCGCGTGGCAATGCCAGGCAAAGGGGCAGGAGGAGGGAGGGAGGGAGGGGAGGGGGAGGGGGAGGAGGGGGAGGCTGGGGGAGGAAGAAGGGGAGGGAGGAGGGAGGGAGGGAGGGAGGGAGGGAGGGAGGGAGGGAGGAGGGGCTGGGGGAGGAAGAGGGGGGAGGGAGGAGGGGAGGGGGGGGGGGAGGTCGGGGGAGGAAGAAGGGGGGGAGCAACCCCCCGCGACCGCATGGGACATCCTCGGCCTGTCACTTGCAGAGCTCGCCCGTGGAACCGCAGACTGGCGAGGGAAGAGAAGACCGACGACGACCACAAAGAGGGTTCGGAACGGGGTGAGGAAACTGGGAGTCCGTGACGCGTGGCTCGAAACGCTGTTCGCCCCGAACCGTGTCTACTGGCACGCGACGTGCCAGAGGCAGTCCTGCCAAGGGACCTCCTGGGCCTGCCCAGGCAGGTGCAGCACAGCAGGACCTGCAGATGTAGAACTAGGCTTCTGCGCGTTACCGCGGACACCTACTCCAGCTGCCGGGGGGGGGAGGGCGATCGAATGGTTTGGCAATGGCGACGCAAAGAAACAGAAGCGAAGGAAGATAAGGACGAAGAGAGGAGGAGTCGATGGACGAAAGAGGGGGACGATGGCAGAAGAGGACAACGAAGGATGGGGGGGACCAAAAGGAGGGAGATAAGGAACAAGAAGGTGAAATGAAGAGGAGAAACGAAGAGTGAGATGACGAAAGAGAAGGAGGACAAAGGAAGACAGTGAAGAAGAGGGAGACGGTAAGACACACTGTAGGAAAAAAATGTCCGATACGCCCAGGGGGACGACCGAGTGGGGGAGAGAGCAGAACAAGGGCCACGGACCACAGAGGAGAGCGGCCTCTTTCTCGAATTCGGTCTGCGCACCCTTGTCGAAATTGCCGATCACCCCGCAAACGTACGCCAGAAAACTGAGTCGGGGATGAGGCACGCGGAGGATATCAGTCTCCCATCCGATGTATGCACAAAATTGTGTATATTTACATACATACATACATACATACATACATACATACATACATACATGCATACATATATACATACATACATACATACATACATACATACATACATACATACATACATACATACATACATACATACATACGTGCATGCATGCATGCATGCATGCATGCATGCATGCATACATACATACATACATACATACATACATACATACATACATACATCTACACATGTATACATACATACATACAAATATACATACATACATACATACATACATACATACATGCATGCATACATACATACATACATACATACATACATACATACATACATACATACATACATACATACATATATACATACATACATGCATGCATGCATGCATGCATGCATACATACACATATACATATACATATGCATATACATACACATACACAATCGCCCTGCCTACTCCAGGCTGTGGGCCACCAGATTGAACTGAGAAATGTCGCCCTTCTTCCTTGACCACCATTGTCTCTCTTTCTTGCGAAATGTCCCCTTAAGCTGCCCATTATCATGTATACTCAGTCATGTGCGACGGCGGCGAGAGGAGGGGCGGTGACATGACGGAGATGCCTCTTTTACGGGTGGCGCTTCCGGGGGACCTGGCGCACGGCCCCCGCCGCTCCCAGGAACTCGATGCCCCCCCCGTGCGAGACACCCGGAGGAAGAGGACGCCAGGAGGTCAGGAGGCGGATCCCCGGGGGCCCCCCGCGGACGCTGCGAGATTCGGGAGGGGGGGCATCCCCCCTACCCGTGGACCCGTCCCTCGGCCTGGGCGCGCCCCCCCTGCTCCGAGAATTGTCTTGGGTTGGAGGGCTCAGGGTGAAAATCCATATGGGCTTCTGCACCTCGAAAATCAGTCCGTCTTGTGCTTCACCTCTTGCAGATCCAGGCCTCGAAAATCCATCGAAACGGCATTTCAGATTTCACCCTTTGCCCTCCTCCTCCTCATCCTTCCTCCTCCTCCTCCTCCTCCTCCTCCTCCTCCTCCTCCTCCTCCTCCTCCTCCTCCTCCTCCTCCTCCTCCTCCTCCTCCTCCTCCTCCCCTCCTCCTCCTCCTCCTCCTCCTCCTCCTCCTCCTCCTCCTCCCCTCCTCCTCCTCCTCCTCCTCCTCCTCCTCCTCCTCCTCCTCCTCCTCCTCCTCCTCCTCCTCCTCCTCCTCCTCCTCCTCCTCCTCCTCCTCCTACTCTCCTCCCCTCCTCCTCCTCCTCCTCCTCCTCCTCCTCCTCCTCCTTCCTCCTCCTCCTCCTCCTCCTCCTCCTCCTCCTCCTCCTCCTCCTCCTCCTCCTCCTCCTCCCTCCTCCTCCCTCCTCCTCCTCCTCCTCCTCCTCCCTCCTCCTCCTCCTCCTCCTCCTCCTCCTCCTCCTCCTCCTCCTCCTCCTCCTCCTCCTCCTCCTCCTCGTCAAAACCGCCGAGGCCCGCCAGATTTCCCCAAAGAACATGCTCAACTGTTGCCGCAGCCCGCGGGGGGGAGGGCCGCCCGCCCCAGGGCGGGCAGCCAGGGGCGAGGGCGGCCTGCCTCGGCCGAGGAGGCCCGCCCAGCCTCGCCCAGCCTCGCCTCGCGCCTCTCGCGGCACGACCGCCTCCGCCCGCGCCGCACCGCACCGCACGCGTGCCAGGGAGCGGCGCGGGCGCGGCCCCGAAGCCCAGCCCAGCCCCCACGGGGCCCACCGAGACTTGGGCACGCCTCCCGCCCTGGACTGCCACCTGCACGGTTTCCCCCAGGGCCGCAGGCGACCCGAGGAGGAGGAGGAGGAGGAGGAGGAGGAGGAGGAGGAGGAGGCGGCGGCGGAGGCGGAGGGGAGGCGGAGGAGGAGAGGAGGAGGGAGGAGGAGGGAGGAGGAGGAGGGAGGGGGAGGGGGCAGGAGGAGATATAGAGAGAGAAAGAGAGGAGGAGGAGGAGGAGGGAGGAGGAGGAGGAGGAGGAGGGGAGGAGGAGGAGGAGAGGAGGAGGGGAGGAGGAGGAGGAGGGGAGGAGGAGGAGGAGGAGGAGGAGGAGGAGGGGAGGCGGAGGAGGAGGAGGAGGAGGAGAGGAGAAGAAGAAGAAGAAGGGGAGGGGAGGGGCAGGAGAGATAGAGGAGGAGATAGAGGAGGAGAGGAGGAGGAGGAGAGGAGAGGAGGGAGGAGGAGGAGGAGGGTGAGGAGGGGAGGAGGAGGAGGAGAGGAGGAGGAGAGAGGAGGAGGAGGAGGAGGAGGAGGAGGAGGAGGAGGAGGCGGAGGAGGAGGAGGAGGAGGAGGACGGGTCGCCTAAACCCTTCGGAGAAACCCTCCACACGGAACCCCGTCTCTTGGTCCCCGAGGGCAGACACGCCAGCGGGTGCCGGGCGAGGCCACGCAGCGCCAGGCAGGCGGGGTGCTGCGCAGGCGCCGGGCGAGGCGACCCCGCGCCGAGCAGAGGGGCGGACGCTGGGCACGACGTTGCGACCAGCGGGGAGGGTGGGGGGGGGAAGCCGCAGAAGGGTGGTGGTGGTGGTCACTGCACAGGGGAAACAAGTCCCGAGCAGAGCAACACGCCCCACGACCACGACGACGCCGACGACGACGACGACGACGACGACGACGACGACGACGCTGAGGGGGACGAGGCGCGCCGTCAGCAGGAGGGGAGGAAAGGACCAGGGTGGTAAAAAGACAAGGGAACGGAGAGTGAAAGTGAGAAGGCAGCGAGACGCCCGTCGCCCTGGGTCAACACCAGGGTGGCAACACGATCGACCCACGAGCCCGGAGAGGAATACAGGAATGTAAGGCATGGCAACGTTTCAAAGACACCTGATTGGGCGACGGGCAAATGCAATGCTGAGTGTATCGATCTTGATGCACAGTGCCGAGGACTGTGCTGTGCGGCGCCGTGCTGAACTGCGATGTGGCATGTCGCGATTGTGCTCTATGGCGTTGTGGATCGAGTCCTCCTTTGCATCTGAATCCTGACCGAACTGATCTGGATCTTAAGCTCGAGCTGCCTGAGCACATAGTAGCTGCCCCAGAGCTAATTGACAGGGGGGCATGCCAGGAGGACGCGCCGCGGAACGTCTCAAGGGACGCGCCAGGCGACGTGCCAGGCGACGTGCCGTGGAGACACAGCGCGGGACGTGCCAAGGGGACGCGCTACGGAACGTGCTGGGGACAAGCGTTTCGCTCGAGACATCCCGCCCAAATCCTCATGCTAGACATCCGCATGGGCGACCTAGACACGTGAAAACAAGCGTTTGGCTCAACGCATCCTTAACACATCCTCATGCTAGACATCACCCTGGGCAAAGTGGACAAGTGAAAACAAGTGGTTCGCTCGAGACATCCTCAACACATCTTCATGTTAGACGTCCGCCTGGGTGACCGGGGCACGTGAAAACAAGCGTTTCGTCCGAGACTTTCCCAACACCTCCTCATGCTAGACATCCGCCTGGGCGACCTTGACACGTGAAAGCACACGTCTCGCTCGAGACATCCTCGACACATCCTCATGTTAGACATCAGCCTGAGCGATCTGCACACGTGAAAATAAGCGTTTCGCTTCAGACATTCTCAACACATCCTCATGCTAAACATCCGCCTGGGCAACCTGGACACGTGCAAACAAGCGTCTCTCGATCGGAACTTCCTCAACACATCCTCATACTAGACATCCGCTTGGGCGACCTCGACGCGTGAAAACAAGCGTCTCGCTCGAGGCAACCTCGACAAATCCTCACGCTGGACATCTGCCTGGGCAACCTGGTCGCGTGAAACCGAGCGTCTCGCTCGAGACATCCTCAAGACCTGGGCAAGTGAAACAAACACTTCACTTGAGAGATCCTCTGAATTCTGGTCCCCAGGAGAGGACATTCGATAAGACAAAAAAACACGTTTCGCTCGAGACGTCCCCAACAACTTCTACAAAATAAGCGTTTCGCTCGGGACATCCTCGAAGTGTAACACGCCGGCCCTACTCGACCTCGATGTGCATCGCAGATTAGATTCGCGGGCCCTACAGCCGTCGACTCCGAGGGTAAACCTCTACAAGAGAACCCTGGGCCTGAGCGCTTTCTGGGAAAAAGCCCAGACCGACGGCAGGGAGGGCCGCCAGACGTGAGAGCGTGCAGAGGACGACGCACGGCCAGCAATGCCACCGGGACTCGGGGCACGTGTCGGGCAGGCGGGTGCGGAACCAAGCGCAACTGCTAGGGGGCTACTAAAACGACGCGAAGATCGGGACAAAATCGGATCGGGATAACTCGAAATCTCTGAGGATCGGCGGGTTTGGAGGATGTATTGGGCGCCGCGGCCGCTCCAGAGCGTTCCGGAACGCTCGGAGAGCGCTCCGGAACGCTCTGGAGCGATTTATCCCGATCCTAGCCCTGTTTTAGCTACAGCTGGGCAGGACAGCCCAGGTGGGCGCGGCTTTACACGAGTCCGAGGGCGCCGACGGCCCATGTATGCGGCGAGGCCCGGGCGAAGACAGCAGGCAACTACGACAGGAACTCTCGAGGCCCCAAGACGCCCCCAGGAAGCCCGAAGGGACCTCCAAGAGGCTCCCAAGAGGCCCCCAAGATGCTCCCCATAGGCCCCGAAAATGCCCCCCAGAGGCCTACGAGCGCGCTCCGAAGAGGCCCCACGAAGCATCACCGAAGACTCTGCCCCACATCAGCGTCGTCGTCGCCGCCGACGCCGCCGTCGTGGTCGTCGTCCCCCTTCAGGGTCGGCGGCACAGGCCGTAAGGCCTTCCCAATACAGCAGGCACATACAAGAAGGTCTTGTTTACAGAAATCCAGGAACGCATCTTTCGTCGACGCCGCGTTGCGCAGGGTGCCCCCGTGGCTGTGCGCACCACACAGGGAGATGCGCAGCGCTCGTGGGGCAAGCGTTGGCGGGCCTGCTTCTTGCTTGGTGCGCCCAGGCCTGCGTGCGACGCCCACCCCGAGG